TTTCTGTTGCGACCTTCTGATTCAGTTTTCCTCTTTACTGTTCCCTCTTTTTTTTTTAAACAATTTTCTCTTGATGGTTCTTGAATGGACTTTGAGGATTGAAGACAGAGTCTGAATTTTGGCACCATTACTGAAGGCCTGACCATCTTTTTCCTCTCTCCCTTGCTTACTTGGGAAAACAGTCGAGCTGAAAAAACGATTATAACATGTTCTCTTTCTAGTTGAATAACTCAAAGAGTTTTTCAGTGATTCTTACGACAAATGGTGTCAAGGTGAGTAAATGTCTTACTCTTATCTGATAACCGAGAAAAAAGAAACTCAATTCATTTAGTAATTTTGTAGATATCAAACACTTTGTGGGATGGCCAGTTATCCCATTCTGTTACACGACTTGGACAATTTTGCTGTTACATCCGGCACACACACACACACACACACACACACACACACACACACACACACACACACACACGCACTGACAAAGGAACATCGCTCTCGACACTGAAATAGAACTACAATTGCGTATGTATGTATGCTGGAACGCATGGCTGTGTATCCGCGCCTGGCCTCGGATTGTTTATATAGATGTGTTTGTGTGAAGTTAAATGAGTACATCTGTATGTATGTGTGTCTATGTGTATGGGAGTGTCATCCCAAACAAAAACAGAAGAAACTTCCCCCTCCCACTACCAAACCTAATCAAACTCAAACAAGCATAAATAGGTCCAATTTTTAAAAAATAAACCTGTTTGTTTAATGAACGCAAAAGCGTGAAACTCATATGCATACAACTGAATATATACATATATATATATTTTTTATAGATACAAATATTTAAGTAAATGCTCTATTCATAATAAACAACATTTACCGGCCTGAATGTCCGAGAAATCTTCATAGAAAATATTCGTCCTCCGACAAGAATCGAACCTGTATCCTATACGGAACCGTCATATAGCCTGACGTGCCTTTAACCGATTTGGCCACAGAGGAGAGTTCGGTTAGCAAGGTCGATTTTACTGTTTTTAAACTTCAATCTTCCATGAATCTCTCAGGTACATTCATATTTGCTCATGGCGTATCCAAATGTAAACAACTGACGTCACACACACACACACACACACACACATATCTATATACATACATACATATATATATATATATATATATATATATATATATATATATATCATTTCAACCAAAGCATGTCGGGAATGCCACTAGCATGCAGGGGCTTACATGGAGTGAAATCGAGAGAAAAGACTGGGTATAAAGGCGGAGCCTTGCGGAAAAGATAAAAGATAAACGGGATTCACGAAGATAGAAGATGGCGATTGCTGCGCATTTAAATTTGTGAAAATTGTAGTTATCACGGAAGCAACTAACCGGGGGGGAGTTCCACAAACGGGAAGTGAAAGAAAAGGAACTGTTGAAGTAGAAGTGACGGTTGCATTTAACTATTTCCGCATTAAAAAAAAAACTTGGATGACAATCTAGTAGTGCGCCTAAATTCAGGTAGTCGGGGTGTATTTATGTTATTTTTTTATTCGGTGGAGTTAGTTTGGACAATCATGAGTCTATCACGCCAACCATCACGGTCCTCCTGTATCAAGGTCGGAAGGTTATCAAGGAGGCATTCTGTGTCATAACATAACTGGTCAATGTAGGTGGTTGTTGGGCGACTTGTCTTCTTTGACTAAGTAGCCAGAACAGTAGATAGGTCGCGAGTTCTTGTTTTGCTAGCCAGCAGCGTTCTGCAAAAACGGATTCAGCGTTCGTGTAAGATTGTATAAATATGCCTGTAATGGGTACATAGAGCTGTGATTTAGTTGGACATTGTCTCCAAAAGATATTAAGTAAAGCTCTCAGTATCCGAGTGTAGGTTCCATCAAGCTTATGTGTGGTTTAATGTCCGGGCTGTGGCACCATAAATTAACACCGTCTCTACAGTAGCTCGAAAGAACCAATAATAATGCTAATATCGGGCAATCTGGTATAAGATGGTCTGGATATTTATCACAGAATCTGCATTTCGAGTTAACAAAATTCTTCAAAATTCTTCAGTATGAGAACTTGGTAATTACTATTTATTTATCAAGCATAGGTCTTGTGCAGCAAGAATAAAAATTCCGGTTTCAGTTGCACTATAAAATCATTAATGGGTATGGAGTTTGTCTACCTCAGCTTTTTTGGCACAAGCAGAATACTGACCATAAAACTATTTTGTCCGTTTGCGTTTGCCTTCTTTTTGGGGTTCTTTGTCGTCGTAGTAGGTGTGTTTACTTACTATTTTTCATCTACTTGAAATTCCGTTTTGAATTTGTTGGCTTCGTCTATTACTGAATAAATTTTCTCATTTTTTTCCATGTTCTTTAATACAGATCATCCAGTCTTCTGTAGTTTCCAGGTATCTTTGAAGATCGATTATTATAATGTTGTAAGACAGTTCTAGTTGAACTAATCCTCTGCCTCATTCGGATCTAGACACATCCAGATAATCAGCATCAGCATTAGGATGATGCACGCGGTGGCAAGTGAGAAGCTTTTCTCATTTTGACCTTTGTTCGTTAAATGTCATCTATTATCCAGTTAAGTATGTTGAAACTGCGTTTCACACTGGGGACAGCCAAAATGTCTTGTGAGTACAACTCTGTATTTATCACTTGACGCACACACTTATGGTACTCTTGTCCTACTTTGCTTTCTATTTGGTTATGTTGTATTCCATTTCTTTTGCTGACTCCGAGGTAATTATAGGCTTCTTCTTGCTCCAGTTCCTTAAACAAAATCGCGGAAAAATCGATATCTGGTCAGTGGGTTTCGGTAAATCTCTCTTTCATGAATCTTTCTTTTGCACATTTATCTAGTCCGAAGTCCATACCGAAGTCATCACTAACAATTTACAATATTATGGGGACTTTTCAACTCATTATATTTGGCAAAAGGCTTCAGTTGTTATTATTATTATTATTATTATTATCATTATTATTATTATTATTATTCCCTTTTATTTATAGTGTATACTCATTTCTTTTCGGGTCCCAATCGGAGACCTAAGGTCAGAAATGGCATCGTGACATCTTTTTTACTGAGAATTTTAAAAAAAGAAACTAACATGACACACATTTATATTTACATAGATAAAGTCATTCGTAAGGGGTGAGCTGTACATTGAGTACATATTTTTTGTATTTCTTTAAGGCTTGTGCTACCAGGGATCCCTTCAATGAATCTATCGGAAGCTTTTCCCATCAAACTGAGGGCTCCAACTACAACTGAAATTGTTGATGATCACATATGTCATATGTTTGAGATTTTGATTTCAAGGTCTCTGTAATTTGATAGTTTTTTGAAGATCTTCAATGGCACATTGCGGTTTGAAAAGAGTTCCATGTTCAATAATCCTTTATGTTAATTGCTTTCCTTGGGGTGAAAAAGTTAAAAAAAAAAAAAACCCAAATACTATGCCATGACAACCAGATGATACCTAGGACATAATAGGTAAGTTGGTAGTGAAGCTGTGACTCATATGACACGCAAACAAACTTAAATGAATTGTTAATAGTTATCTGCTGTCTTCCTAATCCCTGTTCTTTTATTGTTCTCTCTCTCTAATATTTTTTTTTTATTTTCCCATATCCTTTCAGACTCAGTAACCTCCTGCGTCTTAGTAACTTTGCTACCTTGCTTGGAGTGAAATGATAAAAATAATTACATTTTCCATTTTATTAACCGTTTCTCTGATACTAACTCCACCCCTTCCTACTGGCGTAAAGCACAATGAGTACAAATAATAAATAATAGTGACTAGACGGATTTAGTACTAAGTAAACGTGCTGTATCGAGATCTTTAGAAAGAAGCCCTCGATTTCTACAGTTATAGAAACTTGGAGAATTGAAATGATAACACGTCAAACCAGTTCTACTTTTCTTTGTTTGCGTCTTGTTTTGTGCTTCTTCTATAAATGGTGCACACCGTGACATGGCAAATCAACATATTTTTTAAAAAATAGAATAAACAATTATGACATAAATTATAATTTGAATGAGCAACAATCCTGCATAGATGTTATGAAAGGCGGAGATGAATATCGCAAGAAATTGTAACTCTGTGAAATCATCCAGATTCACAAAAACATAATGAAATCATTGCTGATCTTTGACGAGTCTTGAGATTCAAAGAAATGAATCTGATATTCCTGTGAAAATTAACTTATAATGATAATAATAATAATAATAATAATAATAATAATAATAATAATAATGATGATGATGACACTGTCGACCATATTATCTCAAGATGTCCGGAAGTGGCAAAAAATGAATATACCGACAGATATAACAAGGTAATGACATATGTGACCTGGAAGATGTTGTAACCTGGGGAAGGATACTGAATAGATTAATCACACGCTGTTAGATGTGGCACAAGGCCAAATTTAATGTCGGGTTCCCGAGCCCGTAGACTCAGCCAAAAAATTCCCCGTACATTCTGTATAAAACGGAGTCAGGTAACTGAAGTTAATAATAATAATAATGATAATAATAATAATAAACAGGTCAATGCTTGCTAAATAGAAGTTAGCAAGCTCGCATAATGGAAAATTGTGTGATAAATGTCTAGAAACAATCGACCATCTTGTATTAGATTGCGCAGTATTGGCACCAACTGAATATAAGACTCAGCATGACAGATTGGGCCAATATCTGCATCGGAAAATATGGAATTTTTTACGGAAAGGAAAGAAATTGGTATGAACACCATCCAGACGCGATTACAGACATAGGACCTGTAAGAAAGTTTATGGAAATTTCCAGTACAAATAGACAGAGCAATCCAAACTTATCACCAAAACATCGTAATCAAAGTGCACAGAAACAGAATATCTCTTCTTATTAACATGGAACTCATTGCAAAACGTAATGTATCATTGAAGATCTTCAAAAAACTATCAAAGTACCAAGACCTTAAAATCGAAATCGCCAACATATAATACAGATGGTATTCCTTAGCGGTCACCCATCTAGATACTAACCAGGCTCGGTGTTGCTTGACTTTAGTGATCGTATGGGAACCGGTTTTTCAATATGATATTGCCGGAAACCTTTGTTGGTTTGTAATTTCGTGAATTTTACTCAAAGCTACCGTATATTGTAAACTCACCCACCCTGTGCTTATAGGACGAATTATATGAATTTCTGAAAATAAAATTGTCAATGTTTGACTTGAACGCCGTCACAGGGAGACGTAAATTGCTTCTTTTTTTACCTGAAGGTGAGTTTTTGACAGCAGATGAATCATCCGACTGAAACCAGACTCAACCAAGATGTGGGAAAATCAAATAAGATCAACTTTACATCTTTTCAGAGTAGTGGATAATTTTTATGCATGTCTTCATTCATCCACAGCTTCTGGTATCCTTTACATTTGAACCTTGCTTGAGCTGCTGTTTTTGTTTTTTTGAAGTTCAATGATACTTTCTTGTCAGGTGATATCAACTTCAGATGCATTAGAAATGGAGGAATCAATAAACCAATGCGTCATTGTAATTTGGAGTCGATCAAAGAAGCGAGTTTTCGTATCATTATGCAATTGCTTCAAATGATCAACATAGACTTCTCGGTCATTATCAAGCAGCTCGATGGATATATTTGCTAAGGAAGGAAACAGATGGATTGGAAATGGAGGAGTTCATAAACCAATTCGTCACTGTCATTTGGAGTCGATCAGATAACATTATTTACATTATTCAAACTATTGTCCTCATCTTTCTCGGCATATTTATTACTACGTTTCGGCCGTTGTACGCTTCGGCCTTCTTCAGGTGGTTGTAATAAATATGGCGACAAAGATTGTTGAAGCTTGAATAAGCATGGAATAATAATAATACAACACAAAATGTACGTAACAAAATGTATTGAAACAATGAAAAAAAGGTACACAATATTTACAGGTAGTTTTGGTATATTCTTGGGAAGACTGTTCCTGCAGAATGGGTTGACTAAGTCGCAGTCGGGCAGAGTCTCTGGATTCGATCTCTTAATCTTCCGTCGTCTTCCGGTACCAACCCATATTTATATGGTCGGTACTCCACTTATGTAAATTAGGTGTATCATACACAACAAAGATGATGACAATAGTTCGAATAATCTAAATAATGTACATAATACCTCATCTTAGCCATATAGATAGATAAGAGAAGCAAGTTTTTACATCATTATGCAATTGCTTCAAATGATCAACATACATTGCTAGGTCATTATCAAGCAGTTCGGTGGATATATTTCCTAAGGAAGGAAACTGCAAATTCCTGTCTCCCAAGGTTCAGCCATAATAGCTTTAGTTTTGCGTTAAATGTGTTAATTTCCTCCTTGCAGGAAAATAAAGTGGAATGAATTCCTTGGAGCTCTTTCTTCAAAATTGAAAGACAAGTTTTAATTTAAACTGTAAATTATGATTTTTAAATTTTAAGAAACTGAAAAATAAAAACGTTCATTTGGTATAGATCAGACGAAAAAATTACAATAAATACATATTTATGTTAACAAAATGACTTAAATTAATTTAATATTTAACTTAATAAAAAAATTAATATTTTAATTTAAATAATAATTATTAATTGCAAAATACTTCATATATATATTTAGTGGGTCCTAAAATTTTTGGCCACCCATTTTCCAAACTTGTCCTTGTGGCCCATAAAAATATTTCATGGCCTCCAAGGCGGCCATATGGCCCACGTTGAGAAAATTTGTTCTAAATGGACTTCAACAAACTAAAGAAATGCGCTTATTGCTGGAATTATATATATATATATATATATGGTTGAGTGGAATATACAAATAAAAAATTTAAAAACAACAGCGATAAAAACAAAATCGAATGAGATCTGCTCATCTCGAAGCATTCGAAAATCGAATGAGATCTGCTCAGCTCGAAGCATTCGAAAATCGAATGAGATCTGCTCAGCTCGAAGCATTCGAAAATCGAATGAGATCTGCTCATCTCGAAGCATTCGAAAATCGAATGAGATCTGCTCAGCTCGAAGCGTTCGAAAATCGAATGAGATCTGCTCAGCTCGAAGCATTCGAAAATCGAATGAGATCTGTTCAGCTCGAAGCGTTCGAAAATCGAATGAGATCTGTTCAGCTCGAAGCGTTCGAAAATCGAATGAGATCTGTTCAGCTCGAAGCGTTCGAAAATCGAATGAGATCTGTTCAGCTCGAAGCGTTCGAAAATCGAATGAGATCTGTTCAGCTCGAAGCGTTCGAAAATCCAATGAGATCTGCTCATCTCGAAGCGTTCGAAAATCGAATATTAACTTTTGTTGTATCAGTTATTAGTTAAAAATGAACACACTACCACCCCTTGTCTGAATTATTGGATTTATCTGTATCCTTAGAAACAGTGAATTATGAATTTTTGTGTGCGTTTAAAACTTAGTAAATTTAAAAAATAAGTTACTCCAATATTCGCTTGAAGATGAAATGGAACTAATGTTTTTAATTTAATTACAAAATGAAATATGAAGTTTTTAGCTTCCATTTTTGAAACATTGTTATTACTGTGTAGCGAAAAAACATTGTAACCCAGTTAATTTTTATAATATATATATATATATATATATATATATATATATATATATATATATATATATGTATTTAGCAATTATTCTTTCATGCACATTTCATTGAATACGACAGACAAGGTGCATTGATTTAGCTTTTATACAATTTGTCATGCCATTTTTTTCTTTTCAGATGATAAATCATATAAAACTATCCGAATGTTCTTTTTTCCGAGCGCTTTTACACACACACACACACACACACACACACACACACACACACACACACACACACACACACACACACATATATATACCGTTCTTCATTAATAAATTGACCACTCTGTCTGCTGGCGGTTGTATACATTGATATATAATACGTTAAAATTTTGTTTTCTCTGCGTCGATAGGTTTGTGGTAGGATATCCGACCAATACCAGATCTATCGGGTTTCGATCCCGGCATGAAGCAATCGGATCTCTAGCCACAATGATGAGCCGCTAAACAGGCTTGTATGTGCTTGGCTATATATATATATATATATATATACAAATATAGATAACTATACTCGTTTCGAAAAACCCTTGAATTTTTTGATTTGCCAATAATCAAATCAATCTCGCGGGAAAAAAAGGTTTTAAAAAAAGAAAGAGCTAGAAATATGAAAGTCTGTCGAAAAAAATCGCACAGATACAGGTTTAAAGCCCAAAGAAAAAAACCCGATACGAGTAAACAACTAACTAACAAAAAGAGCTCAATACAACCGTAGAGCAGACCTAGTCAAAACTAGTGAGCCAGACAAACCTACCTAGGTTTCACCTAAACGGATCGTCAGTGAAAGCCGGCTCGTCTGGCTCACTAGGTTTGACTATATATATATATATATATATATATATATATATATATATATATATATATATATATATATATATATAATTCCATCATTAAGCCCATTTCTTTCTTTCGACGAAATCCTTTTCAATGAGAAAGCACGTTATATAGAATTCTCCTAATATGTCGTAAGGAATATTATTAACAAATAATTTCTTGGGACGATAAGTAAGACGACAATAGGGTTTAGTCCCCAGGTCGATTTATGCACGAGGTCTGCCCGGAAGAAACTCGGCACCTTATTATTAACGGAAATATGTCATTCATATGGAAATTGCAGCTTACCACCTCAAACCACTACATTCTGACATCACATACACATATCCCAGCATGCCTCTTACTTTTTTCTCTTCTTTCAAGATCGCCATCATCTGCCCCGTCATATTCTTTATAATCTTTACTAACAACAACAATAATTTCTTTCTTTTAATAGTAAATTAATCACTTTGAAACGACAGGATCCCAGAGGAGTACTGAGAGTTGGATAATGTCAGGTTTCACCTCCACATCCCATCTAATAAATATTATTATAGAAAGCAATGGTTATACAGTCCAATATCTCACTTAATGACATCTTACTGTCTTATTTTTTCTTTTTCTTTTTTTTGCTCATGTTCACCCAATACATGGCCCAAGAGCCACTTGAGGTAGAGGGTTTACTCAGTGTTTCTCAACTGGTGTTCACCGGAACCCTAAGGTTCCACAAAAGGTCCCCAAGGGTTCTGAGAGAACAGTTGAGATAAGCTAATGCACTTTTGATAAATTAAAAATCCCCAATGTGTATATACAATATGAATATAATCTATTTACAATAAACTAAACAAAATCATGTTGGACAGCATATTACCCCCGACTTACAATAGTGTCCAATGTATTTATGCGGATTGGGACATAACCATTAGTGTTCATATGTACGGTATATAACAGTTTATAACCTGGTTTTATTTAAGAACATACAAATTGTCACAACACTAGGCTCAGTTTTTTTTTTATTTAATTTCATATACATAATATTACTAAACACACACAAGATATTCTTGATTATTGTAATATAGAAATCATCCTATTTAACATGTTATTAAAAAATATAACAATCATTGGGAATATATTTAGTGATGTCTGTATGGCACCTGTGAGAAACCCGCCTTCACAAGTCAGGGCCCACTCAGTGAATGGGACCTGCACTTAAAGTTACTTATTTGTTTTTTTCGTTATTTTTTACAAAAATAAAAACACAAATAAAAAACTGATGCAGCAATTATCTGTTTTCGGTCTGTTTATATTTATATTATCAGTATATGATATTGGTTACTTATGTTTATTTTTTACGTTTCAGTTTAGAAATTTCTTTTGCGTAAAAGAAAACTCCCTGATGACGTATTATAAACAAACAGTATGAATTTTATTTAGCATTACCATAAAATTTGACAAAGAAGTATTAATTTTTCCTTAAACCAGTTATTCAAAAATATATACTATGTTATTTACCACGTAAGTCAGTCAATTATGTGCCATGCGTGATACACGCTTAGGAGATAATGTATCTTTTGATACATGACTGACGAGGCAGATTTTTCCCCGCAGTGCGTTGCCATTTCTTTCTACGGTAGACCAGTTGCTATCCAAGGCTATAGAACCCGGT